TTATGTTTGTTTGGTAATTTATTTTTTGATATTTCTTTTGTATTCAGTTGGATTTAACTTAAATTACGTTCATGAATACGTTTCCTCTATTTGAATGCTTTAGAACTGTACATCTTTTAAAAAAATGAATCTGCTTTGATGAATAAATCTAAAGTATTAATACTGTTAGAATTTTCGAAGAATATGGATTAGACCGGAAAGATTATTTGAGAATTTTCAAATTGATTTTGATTTGCTGTTGCTTACTTGCAACCACCATACCAAGATTGACTCATTTCTCCCTCTTGCATCTCCGTTGGGCTTCGAGGCCCAACACTTCTTTTATTGAGTCGACCTTGATGTTTTCAAAGAAAGGAAGGCTGAAATGTGGTGAAAGGGAAGCAAGTATACAGATTTCGGAAGCCAAAAGTGAGTTGTATACACTAATATACAAGTTGATATTCATGATATACAGTAATGGTATACAATTGGTACACGAACGAAAGTGGGTTTAAAACCCAAAATTTCCAGCAGCAGAAGGCCCATAAAACAGCCCAAGAATCTGATTTTTTGGGCCCGAACAGTCCATTTAGTGTATTTGTTAGACTTAGACAGTTCTCTTATTTTGTTTTTTTTGTAATTTTGAACAGAATTCTAACTAATTTTAGGTTAGCTTGAAGTAAATTCTTCTAAAAGATGAATCAAATTCTGTTTTATGATGGTTTACTTCATATACTTAATCAAATGTTTTTGGCTAAGTCATTTTCAAACATTTCAAGATTATTTCTAAGTCAAGTTGTTTTCTCAAAATGACTTTAAAAATGCAAGTCTTTTACTTTCAATTATTTTCCCCAAAAAGTTAGTCAATATTTTTAGTCAATCTGTCGGATAACTCCATGTTAGCGGACACTTTAAGTACTAACGATTTCTCAAAGTGGAATTATAAACCTCTTACCCATTTTCTTTAAATTTTCAAAAGTTTTTCCTGTTAAAGCCCTTTTAGATTAAGTTTTCCTAATTTCCTTAAAAAAATTAAGTAACAACTATTTCTAAGTTTATTTCTTTATTTTATACTTACAATTTCAAAAGTAATTTTTCAAAAGAAGTTAAATCACCTAATGATCATAAGTTATTAAGATAGAATAGTTGACATACACGAAAATTAGAGCTAGACATTGTCACGATCCAAAGTATATCCTAGGCGTAACATGGAGTATAGGACCACAAGAGTCCCTACACAAGCCACTTAGCATGCATAAATAAGATAATAGAAAATCAAGAGATTTTAAAAGATAATTCATATCATAAAGAGTTTTGTAAAAACGAAACGAAAGTCTACATAGTCCCAAAAACCATTTATTACATCAAGAGTGATCACGATGTAACCCATACATCACATACAATCTAAAAAGATATAAAGACAAAAAACAATAAAGGCTAGGTCCTCAGAACATGAGGACTCACCAATCTTCAAAATCTACTAAGTGATCCCTAGGCACGGAGATGGGAAACTGGAACGTCGGACCCTGCATTTGAGAAACAATGTAGGCAAGAGTATGCGTTAGTACAAAAATGTACGAAGTATAATAGCAATGCATAAAGTTATAAAATCATGCTAAAAATGGACCTTTCATGTCATGCAAAGACCAAGTTAAAACCATATGAAAAGAGGATAGAAAACATAAGCATAATCGTGGTCAATGCAAGTAAAACTCATCTTTGAACACTTGTGAGTACTTCTTGAAGTAACCTTAGTTCATCATTATTATAGGAATTAGGCTTAACCGATATAAAGACCGTGTGAGCTATAACATGTAATCTGGTGTCTGCCCCACACTAAAAATGAGTATCCTTACTTGCCAAGACAAGAACCTTAACGTCTAGCTTACGTGGATCCACTAGCTAATGTCTATCTAAGACAATCATCGTCTATCCAAGACAATCTTCCTATGGTGACACATAGGTACGAGATAAGGAGATTGTTACTAGAAACCCAACCTCTAGCTACATGAGAACTTCCATCTCAATATCCTCTCGGTGCTAAGCATAAATCCCACGAAATAGTCATAATTCTTTACTTGACTTATCTTTCATGGAAGGCATATCAAATTGCCAATCTAAGCTAGGTTTCTTTAGAATAGCTCCTAAAATTTGATTCAAAGTTCGTTGAGAAAACCTTTCAACTCTACAAATCCTTATGTGAGAAAACCCTTTCACATGCTTGTATTGAGTAGTATGTGAGAAATCCTTTCACAACAACAACATTTATGCTTCACTCTCAAAGCAATCTTAATCATTTTCATAAAGAACATGCATATCTTCATAAACTCATCTTTCATAGTTCAAACCCCACATTATATCATCATAACTTAGAAAACATGGGTTATGCATGGGTTCATGGGATTCATCTTAAAAACATAGAATTATATCAATTCATGCATAATAGTTCATAAAACAATCAATTGAATCAACATTGAAAGGAACCCATGATAGAGAAGAAAACCCTAACTTCAATTGGAGATTTCTAACTTTGTAAATTGGAGAATTTAGGAACTCTATGGAGGAAAGAGCTCCATAGATGAAGACTATCCTACCTTGGAGTTCAAAGCCCACAAGCAATGGTGAATTGGAGACTTGATCTTGAAACCCTAAGTTGACTTCTTCTTCTTCCTTAGAGAGAGAAATATTTGGGGAGGATGAATAGGTTCTTCTTTTGGGAAATTGAGAGATTTAATTGAATTGGGTGATTTTGGGGTTAGAAATCCTTATATAGGGATTTTGGTAGAAGACAAAACGACATAGTGTTGAATTAAAACAATTAGAAAAAGACCCAAAAGCCTCTGACTTAAAGATGACGCACTGACTCCACAGAGGCCTTCATGGTCCTTCTAGAACAATACGAACTGTCTAACGGGTCGTGAAGAAGCTCTACCAGACAAGCTTCACTGTACCCCCTTCACAGATGACTTCACAATCCGTGTGGGGCTTCATGAGTTGTTTAGCCATCCGTGGTCCTTGACAAGTGGCTATGGGAGAAGACCCCATCTGAGTGGCAACTTGACGAGCCCTTTGACGGCCCGTCAACCTCACCACCGGCCGTCTAGGCGTCTATGAGAGGGACACCTGCATGGCCAAGTTCTGGGAACTCTTCATGAGCACCCAAACAGATCGTGGTCCCTTATACGGCCCATCTAGGGCTCCGTGGAGGGTTCCATGGTCCACTCTTTGGTTCTCGACTTACCTTTTTTGACCCTTTTCTAGCCTTTCTCAAATCCGAGGTGTTACATACATCAACCTTATTATTAATAACAAAGAGATGCCACATAATTCAAGTTCTGATAAATAGAACATAACATGCTAACTAATTAAGTTGATTATGAATTTTAATTTTTGCATTTCTGCCAACTACATGAGCTAGTTATCAGTCATGTCAATTATATTTTCTAGCATAATATTTTTGAAATATGCCAAGTAGCTGGGTTAAAATTAATTTTTACAATTGATAAGTAATTATAGAAGAATCAGGCCCTTAGCAATTTTCAATAAGGAATTGATAATTTAATGTTTGAAAACAAGTACAAAAGAATCAGGTTTTTAACATGAGGTTTTTTGGACTGTTAATTATGGTATATTTGGATAGTGTAGATATGAGAATATTTAAATAAGGTATGATTAGATAGTCTAGATATGAGAATATTCCCCAATCCCTTTAATTAGGCAGTTAGGAGATTATTTAATATTTTATTAGTTTCTTTCCTTATTTACATCTGTAACAACTATTTGATCCCATCAACTTGAGTGAATTCCCAATATCTTTTCTTTTTCTTCTTCTAATTTCTCATGGTATCAAAGCCACAAACCTTTTTTTTTCCATCCCTCTCTCTCTGAATGTTCTCCTAAAGAAGAAGAGGGGAGGGATTATTTAATTAGTTGTTAAATCAATCATATCAGATTAGTGTCGATTCTCACCTCTCAATTTCTTCTCTTTTTCTCCAGGTCATTTAAACTCTGTCTAATTGCTTTCTTTCTTACATCTGGTTGTCTACTTCTTTGTTTCTCCATGTATGTTGAATACACTTACTTTTTTTTTACTTCATTAGTACTTCTTTTTGTGACAAATAAAAATGCCTCATAACCAAAATGATAATCATATTACTCAAAATCAGATTGTTAAGTCAATTGTTTCTTCTACACCATCACTGGTAATTACTATTGTAAAGTTAGATGGTAGTGGTAATTACACCTCCTGGGCAGCCTCTGTAGAATTGTGGTTTATAGGTCAAGGATTTGAAGATCACATGCTCAAAAATAGTAGTAATATTAGAGCAACTGATAGACCTGCTTGGGTCAAAATCAATACACAATTGTGTAATCTTCTATGGAATTCACTTGATCCTAAGTTGATAAATTTGTTTCAGTCTTGTAAAACTTGTTGCAAAGTGTGGAGCAAAGTCAAAAATTTGTATACAAATGATATACAACTCATTTTCAAAGCTGTGTCCGATATTGTTCATTTACAACAGAATCAACAAGACAACTTATTTGGGTCAGGTAGGTAGAATCTTTAAAGGATAAATTTGATTCTCTTATGCCTTCTACCAACAAAGTAGATGAGTATGAGACACAAAGATACATGTTCTTTATGGTCTTGGCTTTGATTGGGTTACAAGTTGACCTAACTTCAGTTCGTGACCAAATCCTTTCTTGACCATATGTTCCTACCTTGGAAGAAGTATTTGCAAAATTACTGCACATCACATCTGCACCACCAGAGGTAAATTCTTATGGTGCATTTATCATGACTTTCCAAACCAACAATTTCTAAAGTGGATACATGAAAGGAAAATGGAGGAATAATAAACATTGCACTCATTGTAATAAGGGAGGTCATATACGAGAGGAATGTCGACTTCTCCTTTTACATTGTACTCATTGTAATAAGGAAGGGCATGTAAGAGAGAAATGTCAAATTCTTCATGGTAAGCCTCCACACAATAATGATTGTCATCGACATAACAAATATGACTCATAATAGAGATGATATTCTACCTATACTTAATGTCAATGATGGATCATCTCAATCTATCACTTTAACTGGAGCAGACTATAATGACTACCTTCAGTACCAAACATCAAGACAACAATTATCAACCTTATCAGCTGCTTGCACAATACAACCTGATAACTCATTTGATTATGTCACACAGTCTTCATCTCAGGAACAATGAATTCTTGATTCTGGTGCTTCTGACCATATTTCTGGTAATAAAAATACTCTCTCTACTCTTACTACCCCTTCTACCTTCTCTACTGTTACTCTGACTAATGGATTAAGACTATTGTAAAAGGGATATGTATAACTCACCCTCTGCCTTCCATAACTTTAAAATCAGTCCTTTTTTCACCTGAATGCCCATATAATCTCATTTCTATTAGCAAAATGACAAAAAAACTGCAATGTGTTGTAACCTTCCTTGATGATTCTGTTATTGTGCAGGATCGGAGTACGGGACAGATGATTGGAAAAGGACATGAGTCACAAGGATTGTACCTCCTATCTATTCCAACACCACATGTTGCTTTCACTTCCACCGTTTCTTCTGAATTGCTCCATAGTCAATTGAGTCATCCAAGTCTCTTGAAATTGCAAAAGATGGTCCCCAGTTTATCTAGTTTATCTTTGTTAGAATGTGAGTTGTGTCATCTTGGAAAACATCTCTGTATTTTTTATTACACCTTGAACTTTGGTTAGCTTTTAAGTTTCGGGTCAACTTCAAAGACCATAACTTTCAACATATGATGAGTTAGGTGGCCCATTAGGTATCAAATCAAAGGTCGTTCAGTTTTCTTTTCAACTCCGCTGAGTTTGCTAAATTCCGAGTTCAGATGAAGGAGATATGTGCCCATTTGAGTGCAACCTGTCTAGTTAAGGCAATTCATCCATTTTAAGGAGATATATTTTGTTCTTTTCCTTATCCCACCAACCTTAAACGTTTTTACCACCCAAATAGTTGTCTAAACTGATTGAGATGAGTTTTCTCAATTTCTAAACACGCTTAGGGTTTTAGAGAGAAGTTCAAGAGGAGAAAAAGAAAAATGTTCAAGATTCTTGCAAGCATTGAGGATTTTCGCCAAGAACTTAGTTCTTTCGAGGTATGTAAATTTTCATAGTGATGGGTTTTTTCACCCTCACACCAATAATGAGTTTCCTTTATGAATTCGTTCATGAGATTGAGTATATTGATATTCTTGTTAAGTTCTTGAGGTTTTGTGCTTTATTCTTTGATAATGAAGTTTTGTTGAGTTCTTGAGGTGAGGGTCTTGCGAATGAGTGTTGTTCTTGGTGGGTTTTGAGTGGATTTCGTTGTAATTATGTTGGGTTTTAGAATCCAAATGAGTTTTGGAGGAAATCATTCGATTCTAGATGAGTTAGGCCATGTATGGAGCAAGAAAAAATTGTCGAACTTTTTGGGCAAAGGGTGGGGTGGTGCGCCACTGAGGCGCCAAGGGGGTTGGCGCCCCACATATGAAGTGCACCAGAATTGGGGTTCTGAAGATTAGGAGCTGGCGCAGGGGCCAAGAATGTGCCAGGGTCGCCAACCCCTATTCTTTTTCCGTCTTTCATTTCGTTTGAGTTTTTTTAAATCGTGTCTTTGCTCTCTTCTTAATCCTAACTATCTAAACTTTCATTAATCATTGCGAGATCCTAAATATATCCTAATTGTAACTCTTAAATATTTATTTCAAATTAAATTAAAGATTAAGAGTAAGGTTTGAGAAACCTTTTGAGTCATTATGAGAAGTCTTTTACAATATTTTAAAACTTGATTTAAGACTTGAGTATTTGAGTATGCAAATGAGGAGAGTTTAGTTCATATTTCAAAATGAGTATGAGGGGACTAAGTATTCCCAAGTGTCAACGCTTTTACATTAAATGAGAGAAACACTGATTTCTAAATGAGTTTATGAGGAGTTTTGAGCATCATATCTTTTAAGAGAAATCGTTTGAGTAATTATCTCAAACCGAGGAAGAGTTATGTTTTGAAACATATGAGCATGAGTTATATATTATTGGGAGTAGTATTGAGCACCGATATGGGGATAAGTTCAGACAACTCAAAATCCTTATAAACTATGTATGCCAACATGGGTAAAATGTTATACTTTTTAGATGATTCCTTATTGATTTTAAGCATGGCTTAGTAGATCCACTTAGTTGAGCATATTCTATATCCCGACAAGGTATATGACAATTCTGGCAGCGTGGGTGAGACGATGTATCATCACGTAGCTCATAGTGATGGTTGTAGGTTAGAGAATCTCCCAAATAAGAGTAAATAATTTATTATTGTATTTTTATACACATTGAGTTATTATCTACTATTTTTAAGAGCTTTATACATCTTGCGTTTGTTATTGTCGCATTCATTTTGAGTTGAGTTGAAATGAGTCGAGGTGAGTATGTTCTCTTTCTATCAGTTTAGCTTTTGTATCTCCATGTTCAGTGTTCCCCCTTACATGCTCGTACATTCAATGTACTGACTCCATTTGGCCTGCATCGTTTCATGATACAGATACAAGTATTTAGGATCATCAACTGGGGCTTCGTTGATCCAGTCACATTCCAGCTAGCTTTGGTGAGCCTCTTTGCTTTCCGGAGGGCTTTACAATTAAATTTCAGTTTTGTTTTGTTAGGATGTCGTGGGTCTTTGTAACGATTTGGAAAAAAATGATAGGTTAAGCAAGAGCCTATGACTTTGTGTTGACTTTATAATGAGGTTCTATGAGGGGTTTATATGTAATTTCGTTTTAATTGTGTAACTCCAACAATTTAAAATGAATAAGAAGAAGCTTGAAATTGGAAGTAGTCATTTTTGGAAAAAAATTCAGAATCTGGAAATTCGGCCAAGTGTGGAAATCAGTGAGTTTTTGGCCAACTTTGAGCAGTCATAACTCCTAGATCAGGATGATCCAGGAGTAGTTCCAGTTATTTTTGGAAAGCCCTTGGAACGATCTTTCCAACGCCACCGAGTTTGCTCGATTCCGAGTTCGTATGAGCGAGTTATGCCCTTTGAAAGTTGGGCAGTTGGCAGGGAGTCCGTCCGGAAATTTAATGGCATTTCGGTCTTTTCACAAATCTTTTCTTTTGAGGTTATATTGTTGTGTTAGGCTGTTTGTGGATCATTTTTGTTCCATTTTAAAAGAATAAGAGTTAGGGTTCTTGAGTGAAGAAGAGAAGAAGAGAGGAAGAAGAGGAGTTGGAGCTAGGGTTGAAGATTTCTTGGTGTTTCTTCTTCAAATTTCGTGGGGAATTCATATTTAAGGTATGGGGATCCTTTATCCTTGATCATTCTTTCTTTCAAGGAGCCCAATCAAAAGGTTTTCAAGGTCTTTCAAATACACCAAAATCCTATTTCGAATTCTAAGCATGGGTCCTTGCATTAAATGATTTCCAATGATGTTTTATGTTGTTATTAATGATTATTGATGGTTTTAGGAAAGAAATCTTCATGAACCCATGCCTTTACAAATTCTCTAAATTTGGCCTAAAGTGGGTGTATTGATTTTGTGTAATTTTGATGGACGATTATTGTGTAAATTGTTGTGGGCTGTTCATGTATGTATTTATCTATGTTGAATTGTTAAGAATTGTTATTGAATTGAAGGATGTGGGATGTTAGCCTTGAATGGGCAAAATTGTGAATTGGTCTTCATGTTGATTATGGGCTTATGCTTAGCTTAGTTTGTATAGTTGAATGTTGTTATTATCATTGTTATTGTATTGTTAATTGTTGGAATATGAGGATGATGAAGATTGCCATGGAAAGAGGGTAAGTTGATCAAACTTGATAAATATTGTATAATTGGCATGAAATTGAGTATTGTGGCTTATGGCCTTTGAAAAGGGTGGTAAGATGGCTTGATCTCTTAGTATTAATATAATTGTTATTGGTTGGTTTGATCCACCTTTGGTAGAGGTGGTTATTTGTTGTATTATCGTGAATTGAGGCCATGAAGGGCATTATGTGAATGTTATTATATTGTTGTATTATTATACACATATGAGGCTATATGTAAAGTCCTATATGAAGCTATATGTAGAGTTTGATGTGAAGCTATATGTGAAGGTATGATGTGAATGAGTTTTATATGAAGCTATATGTGAAGGTATGATGTGAATGAGTTTTATATGAAGCTATATGTGAAGGTATGATGTGAATGAGTTTTATATGAAGCTATATGTGAAGGTATGATGTGAATGAGTTTTATGTGATCTTGTGATGATCCTATGTAAAGTGGATAGCATTGTGAGTTAAAGTATGATTTCTTATGATGTATATATATGAAATGATGTTGGATTATGAAGTATCCTTAAATGAAAATGTTGTGACTTGGTTGGTAGACTAAAGTGTCCCTCCTTGTTACTTAAAGTCTTGAATGCATGAATGTGTGAAATGGGCAGAACTAAGAAATGGTGCCCTTTCTATAAATGCTAAAAGAGGAATTCTAGGCCAAGACTTGAATCGGCAAAACTAAGAAATGGTGCCCTTTCATAAGTCTAGCTTTCCTAAGTAAATGTAAAACCATGAAATCGGTAGACCTAATGGTGGTAGCCCTTCTCATGTGTGAAATGATGAACCTTGGACCGGCAGGCTTAAGGCACCCTTAATGAAAAATCGATAGGCCTAAGGCACCCTTCCAGGGGGATTTAATGAGCTATCCTTATGAACCTTGATTGGCCATGACTAAGAAATGGGGCCTTTCTTGGGAAGAGGTACTATGAGTTGGTTGAACTAGAAAAAGGAACCTTCTCTAAGTACATATGTGATTGAATACTCTATGGGAAATAAGGCTAGCACCGAGTGGATGTGGTTAGGAAGGTGGCCTAGTTGAGTATGAGATTAGGCACAATGAACTTCCTTGGACATCCCCTAAACCATGTGCCTACATGGGTTGCTTACTAGTTCTACCTTTGGCAAGTAGAACAACCTCCACGGAGTAGGATAGACTCCGGATTCCATATCTAGCTAGTATGGTCTATGTCGATTATGCCTATTCCCATCATGTGGGATGTGCACTCTAGTTATTGGATAGGTTCTACAACGTGTAGGTAGTAGTATGGGATGCTATCTACACATGGCACGAGTAGGCTTTGAAGATACTAAAGTGAGTTCCCTAAGTCTAACGACTATTATATGAAAGTCCCCTTATGTGCTTGAATGTCTCCAAAATGGTTTCTTAAAGAATGTTGGCCTATTGATGTTATGTTGTAAAGGAAATGTCCTTATCTAAGGTAATCTTGAGGAACACTTAAGTGTGCTTGAAGAGGTTGTATGGGCGGTCACTTCTTGTCTTACTCAAGTGTGTCTTAAGATTATATTAGGTAGAGGTCCTATGGTAATGAAATGACATGTGTTCTTTTAAAGTTAAGCATGAGTTGTATATGGACATATGTTGATTATATGTATGGTGGGCTATGGTCTTATATGTTAATGTTGACTTGTATTATGTCTCTTATACTTGTAAAGGAAAGGTTTTATCAAATTGAAATGAAAGCATTTATTCTTTGAAAATGTCCTTTTTGACATGTTTTTGCATGGTCTCCATACTTAGTACTTAATTGTGCTAACCCCTTTCTTTCCCTTTTTTGAACTAAAGTGTAGGGATTTGGAGAAGATGACATGTCATGGCTTTGATAGGTTTCTAAGTGTTGAAGATGAAGACTTGGTGAGTCCTCATAGATTCGAGGACAATACCCAATACGTGCTTTTATGTCTTTTAGTATTGTTTAAGTTGTGTACGAGATTAGTCCCGAAATTTGTACTCTAAAGTATTAGATGGTTTTGAGACATCATGTATAAAGTCTAGAAAGTCTTCCGCTTGCTATTGTTTTTTTTTTAATGAAATGTTTTCTTGGTAAAGAAAGTTTTAATTCCTTATGGTTTTAGTGTCTATGCGATGAATGAATGCTAAGAGGCTTGTATTAGACCTCTTCGAGGTCGAGTACGCCGGTTACGACTAGGGGGTGATCCCGGGTCGTGACAGTCTTGTCCCGACTTTCATCATAGTATTTAGAGGCTTCATAAACTGTAGTAGTGGGGAGTCTTCCCATTTCCCTTGTGATGTTTTAAAGACTTTGAGTTGAGCATTTATGTTCATTTGAGTATTGCAGATATCTTTGAGTTAAACTATTTTTATTAATGGTATATTTATGAGTTGACTTTGCATTTGAGGTTCCTATTTCACTTGAGTAAGTCTTCCGCTGAGAATTGAGCCAGGCCAAGGGTTCGCTTGGGGACCAGCGATGGTTCTCGAGTGTCGGCCACGTCCAGGGTGTAGACTCGGGGAGTGACATTTTTCTCCTAATATGGAAAATCAAAAGGCCATATCATATCAGTCCTTCCAATTCCAACTATGCCACCCTAGCTCCACCTCCGACTCTTAATGTCTATTCCCGACGACTTCAACATCTTTCTGAGCTTGCTAATCCAATTAGTATTTCTAACTATGATACAGGTACACAAGGCAATCTTGGTGACTCATTACCTGCTCCAACAACGTCTTCTTTTTCGGTCGAGCACTTATCATATCATCTTTCCATTGCTTTTCGCAAATGTACTAGAACTACTGCAAATCAAACTCTCATTTATGCTTATTTAAGTTATCATCATCTGTCACCTTCAGATCATGTCTTCCTTACTAGCTTATCATCAACCAAAATTTCTAAACTGTGGAAGAAGCACTGGTTCATCCAGGTTGACGTCAGGCTATGATTGAGGATATGACTGTTTTGCATAATAATGGTACTTGGGAGATTGTTCCTTTACCTGAAGACAAAACCATAGTTGGTTATCGTTAGGTATTCACAATTAAGGTAGGATCGGATGGAGCTATTGATCATCTCAAAGCGAGATTGGTTGTTAAGGGATACACTCAGATTTATGACATCGATTATGGAGATACTTTTTCACCAGTTGCCAAGATGGCTTCTTTCCGTCTTCTTATCTCTATGGCAGCAATAAATCATTGGCCCCTTTTTCAACTGGACATAAAAAATGCATTCCTACATAGAGAACTTGTTGAAGAGGTATATATGGAGCAACCACTTGGGTTTGTTGCTTAGGGGGAGTCTAGGCTTGTTTGTAAACTTTGTCGATCCCTCTATGGTCTTAAGCAGTCTCCTATAGCATGGTCTGATCATTTTCGAGCTGTTGTCCAATAATTTGGAATCATTTGAAGCTGATCACTTTGTATTCTATATGCATTTATCTCATGACAAAGATATCTTTTTAATTATTTATGTTAATGATATTGTTATCACATGAGATGATCGTGAATGTATTGCTCTACTCAAACAACACCTCTCAAGTCACTTTCAGACTAAGGATTTGGGAAAGTTGAAGTACTTTCTAGGCATTGAAGTGGCATAGTATGGCAATGGTATTGCTATTTCTCAAAAGAAATATGCCTTAGACATTTTGGAAGACGCTGGTATGTTGGATTGCAAAAATGTAGATAGTCTAATGGATCCAAATACTAAGCTTATTCTAGGATAGGGGGATCCTCTAAAAGATCCTAGCAGATATCAGAGACTTGTTGGCAAACTCAACTATCTCATGATCACGCGACTAGACATCTCATTTGTTGTTAGTGTAGTTAGCCAGTTTTTGCTATCACCTTGTGATAGTCATTGGAATACAATGATTTGCATCCTGCGATATATCAAAAGATCTCTGGAACAAGGTTTATTGTATGAAGATAAGGGACACACCAATATTGTTGGATATTCTGATGCAGATTGGGAAGGATCTCCTTTTGAAAGGCAGTCCACTTCAAGTTAGTTTGTTCTAATTGGAGGCAATCTAATAACTTGGAAAAGTAAAAAAAGCAAGTTGTCGTAGCTAGATCAAGCGCATAGGCAAAGTATCGAGCTATGATACTAGCTACACGTGAGCTTATATAGTTGAGAGAACTTCTCCAATAATTGAAGATGGAAGGAGTTGAACCGATGACATTGATTTGTGATAACTAAGTTGCACTATATATCGCTTCTAATGCACTGTTCCATGAAATAACGAAGCACATTGAGATAAATTGTCACTTTATTTGAGAGAAGATTGAGTCTGGATACATCGCCACAAGTTTTGTCAACTCAAAAGATCAACTATCAGATATTTTCACAAAATCACTTCGAGGATCTAGAATTGACTATATATGTGGTGAACTAGGAGCGTATGACTTAACACTCCAGCTTGAGAGGGAGTGTTAATTATGGTATATTTGGATATGGTAGATATGAGAATATTTAATTAAGGTATGATTAGATAGGCTAGATATGAAAATATACCCTAATCCATTTAATTAGGCAGTTAGGATATTATGTAATATTTTATTAGTTTCTTTCCCTATTTATATTATCTGTAATAGCTATTTAATCCCATCAACTTGCGTGAATGACCAATCAATTGAATTCCTAATATCTCTTCTTTTCCTTCTTCTAATTTCTCATGGACAAATTAGTTATGTTATAATTGAGTTGTAGAAGTTCTACACACATAGTGAAAGAATAATATTTCAATTGAAGACTATTGTTGATCAGAAGCTATGCAACATATAGATTTTAAATGCAAGAAGAATTTCTTGATGAATTGTGTTTACGAGTTGAATGTGTGGATTAAGGTAGACATTTTCAACATGGAAATATTGTTATAGTTTCAACAAAGAAAAGAAATTTGAAATTAAGAGAAATCGTGTGGAGGTAGACACAAATAACAAAATCATGTCCAAATAGGATTGGATTCCTTAACCAAATTTCAATGAGTTTAGAAGAAGAAACCAAGAGAAGTTTGGCGGTTATTACTCCTATATACAATACTAAAAACAATGCAAAATGCGACGGATAGAAAATCGATAAACAGGGTCGGTCCAAAAAAATCGAGGAAAAATCAACCTTGACTTGAAAAAAATCTACGAGCGTCCCTTGTTTTTTTTTACAAAAATCGACGGACATGTCGGCTATCGTTTTTTTTTTAACGCAAAAATTATACATTTATTTAATTATTTTTTAAAAAGAAATCGATGTATTCCCCCCTCCCCCCCTCCCATTTTGTTTTCCTTACCGACGGACAGGTCGATTTTTGAAGTGCAAAATTGCAGTTCAAGAGTATAAATAAAACCAATGAAAATATTTCATAAAAGAGCATGTGTGGCTGAATGATAGAATTGTCCAAAGTAATACAATATTTTTGGATTCGATTACAAGTGGAAAACCAACAGAAAGGGTTGATTGTCCCTCAATTTTAACAGATCATGTCAGTCGAATTCACCAAAGCGACGATGGCAAAAGCAATGATGTACAATTCAGCGGTTTGGCATTAGGTTTCTTTAAAAGACCGACCCTATCTGTCGATTTTAGCCCTCGATTTTGAGCTTTTTTGTAGTAGTGATAAAGCCCCACATTGATGCTATTATCTTGGATGCTATAATTTCAGTTTGAGATTTAGCTAGTGTTTGACCATAGTTTTTAAAATATTTTTTGTAAATATTATTTGGGTGAAGTTTCACCATGTGTTTTTCCATAGTATTTGTGAAACATATTTCACGTTTTTAAGAAATATGATTTATACCCATAAATTTTAAAAATTATCGAAATTAACCATAGGTTTGTATTACATAACAAGATGGAAACGTCGCCGTAACAAGATGCATGACTTCTGCAACAAGTCAATTGGATCTTCGTTACAACAAATAACAAATAGTGTCCATGACACTAGAGCAATGTGGTAGTTCCGAGCGAGTGCAACAAGCATCATTCCATACATTATGAAGTAGATGAAGCTAATGACTTTGTTACCCTGAACCGATTGTTCGACATTTTCATCAACAACCATATCATCACTTTCATATTCATTGAATATTCCATCACTGTTTTGTTGTTCAGTAAAAAATTATGTAATACAACGCAAACAACAACTATAGAGAGTGTTTTTGTAAAAGATAGAAGTTTGGTGTAAAATTTGAATTTTTAAAAGCTCCCAAATAATGAGATTTGGCTCTAATACCAGTTTTTTATTTTATTTTAGTATTTGGGAATTTGTGTTATTTGTCAAATAATGGCAAATTATATGGACAAACACTATTTGTCAAATTTTCCCCCAAATCTTACTTGGGAAATCTATGGCCAAACGGGTCCTTATTCTTGGCAATAGTAGTTATAGTGTTTACTTGTTAGTAAGATACAAATTTCTGATGCATACACATTGTTATAAAATAGTATTTCCTCTGTCTCAATTTATTTGACCATTTTCCTTTTTAGCAACTCTAAAAAAATGACACATTTCTTATTTGACAAATATTTAATGACACTATCAACATTTTACCCATATTGGGTCCATTTATTTGGCAAAAAGTCAAAAAGTGTATAAAGGTGTAGGTAATTTTGGAACATTGCAAAGTTTTCTCATATTTCTTAAACTTCGAGTTCAATCAAACTACATCACATAAATTGGAACAGAGTGAGCATAAGAGCATCCAAGCACAAAGGAAGCCAAGATTGCTCACTCAGTGCCACAAGTATCTAACTGTAATAAGACTTGGGAAAATTAAGGTGACCATTTTGGCCACAAATCCCTGTTGTTGTTCTGTTCTTCAAAATACCTTATTTAAAAAATTGCTAAAGCCAATTCAATGAGATGAATATAGCTTGAGTTCAATAGAAATCGTCTATTAAACGAGAAGGAAAATGTGAAAGCAAACGATCTAAGTGCTCATAATGTCGAAGCTTATTAGATGGCACCGGATATGGATTTCATTGAAGTCAGAAAACCTCAACAAATCATACGTTGAGGTTTTCTGACTTCAGAATGCACAGGAAAGGCAGAGTCCTTTTGCAATTGTATCATCTGACTGTGTGATCCTTCAAGAACGAAAACAGAATAAGAAAACACAGCAACATAAACGCGAACTATAATGAGAGTACATGTTTGTTATAATTACCTATGAGAAAGCAACAGTCTAGTAGAAATACCAGTTAGGCCATTGTAAATCATGACAACCTCTTCTTGTTCAGAGTGTTCATTAAAGGCCTGCTTTATACAGATAGACAAAGATGTTAACGTCAAGAAAAACCGTGACATAAATCATCATTCTGCACAGTTGGAAATATTTCAAATAGTAAACAAGTTAATGTGATGCAGCACCATAGTCATTCTAAAAAGAGAACTCTAAATATTTCATCGATCATCAGTATGCATTACTCTCCTTCAGCGTAGTTTAAAGTACAAAAAAAGGTGACATGTCATAGCGTAAGTTAAGACACAATTATATAAGGGATCACAAGAGTTTGCTTATTTAAACTAGCCTAGAAGGTCCCTCGGATGATAATTAGAGTCGAGCAAAATAAAAAGTGTTTCAGGTCTTGAGCATGTTTTGATTTAGTCGTCCACGTTTTCCATTATGTTGAATATAGTTAGATATGACTTCCAAGCTACTAGAAGGTCTTCTCAGGCCTCCTACCTTAGCAGTTTACAGGTTAATCAGAAAGTTAGTTCAACTCATTGAGCCTAATTGTCATCATAGCTAAGCCAAATAGAGATGTAGAAACAACATCATAAGTTATTTGATTATTTTGACGCGTGTTGTTGTAAGGTACCTTAATACATTGGTAAGTGTTGACAAAGTAGAAGGGAGACCAAAATCAGCCGTCTTATCTCAGAAATCTCTTGTTTCAGATGGATCATAATCATAAGCTTCACCAGCCTTAACAAATCTACCTTTAACTCGTCTTCTGGTATCTGCCCTAGCCTTACGTGAAGCATATCTTATTTGCTTACCAAACCTTCATGTCACAAAGCATAATATCAATAAAGGGAAAAGGTTGCTATTTAATCACTTAACGAATCTACGTACTGAAAATGTTAGATTAGATAAATGGTACTAGCAAATTGGTATAGAAATTTTTGGTAAAATTGTACCTAGGGAATAAAGAGAATCTATGAAAAGTTTAAAATGAAGAAAAATAAACGACATTAATAGGGACTCTAAATGCAAGAGTTGCAAAAGATCAAAGTTTGGAAGCTCCTCTATTTGGACATAGATACTTCTCAAAACAATGTTGCAATATTG